CCCACAATACTAAGACTCAGGAAAGGATTAGGTTCAGAGACCCATTCAATGTCTAACACTGCCAATGATGATCTTAATCACAAATTGGGATTTTTGTCTTCCCTTAGAGAAGACTAAGAGGATAGGGAAAGGGGGATTAAAAGATTAAGTATGATCACTTAAGAGTATGAAGAGTGCCCAGTCTCCCTTCATTGTGTCAGAAATACTGCTGAACCTCCACACAGCTCAGGGGAACAGGACCCTGTCCTTGACTTTGGTTTGACCCTGATGATACAATCAAGTCTCATCCAGGGTGGGTTTCTATGGAAATTCTCAATGGACGAAAGCTTGGGTTCAGCTTAATGGCCTCCATCTGGAAAGCAAGAGTATACAAAATACTCCATGAACTCTAGGAGATACCGAAAATAGCATGTTTCATTATAACCTACCCATAATTACCCTTGGAAGCACCAAACAGAAATGATACAGAGTTAGAACTCTCTTCTAAACATAAACGTTTCACGGCCAGTAGAAAACTCAGCTTGAAGACAAATTTTCTTTTTTTTTTTTTTTTTTTAATTTTTGTTTTCAACGTTTATTTATTTTTGGAACAGAGAGAGACAGAGGGGCAGAGAGAGGGAGACACAGAATCGGAAACAGGCTCCAGGCTCTGAGCCATCAGCCCAGAGCCCGACGCGGGGCTCGAACTCACGGACCGCGAGATCGTGACCTGGTTGAAGTCGGACGCTTAACCGACTGCGCCACCCAGGCGCCCCATGAAGACAAATTTTCTAACCTATCGTCCATCTTGGCTAGAATGATTGTTTAAAACTCCTCTCCACGGGTTCTGAAAAAACCATAGCCCTTTAGAGGCCAATAATAGTATCTTGTACTTGGAAAACTAACATTCAGGTACTGCAGCTAAACTGCAAAGCATTGTAAATCCTGGCGAGGAAGGCAATTAATCTAATTGGGCTGAACGCATAAGGGTTCCCAAGGGGGTAAAACTACATCCTGGGGCACCTGAGCCCAGCAATATGCCTGCTAGGGTTAGGGCAGAGGTGAAGTGAGGCAGTCCCATCATGCTCCACCTTTGAGTTTTAGAAGAGGATTTCCATCATCTTCCCTGCGGCCCCTTTTAGAAAGAAGCACCCTGTGGGGTGCCTGGGTGGCTCAGTCGGTTAAGCATCCGACTTCAGCCAGGTCACGATCTCGCGGTCCGGGAGTTCGAGCCCCGCGTCGGGCTCTGGGCTGATGGCTCGGAGCCTGGAGCCTGTTTCCGATTCTGTGTCTCCCTCTCTCTCTGCCCCTCCCCCGTTCATGCTCTGTCTCTGTCTGTCCCATAAATAAATAAAAAACGTTGAAAAATAAATAAATAAATAAATACATACATAAAAAAGAAGAACCAGATATAATGGGACACTGTCTCCAGGACCCAAGGGCAAGCCTGTCATCCGTTCTGCTGGGACCCAATCAAAGCACACAAGGAGGTTTTCAGCAGATATCAAGAATAATCTTCCCTGTGGAGGGCGTCTTGGAGTTTCCCTCAGGGTTTGAAATTCTTCATTTATTACGGTGAAACTAGAGAAAATGAATCAATGCGCATCAGGCCACAGGACGACAAACACAGAAATGCTCTCATGTTGCTGGCATGACCCGTTTCTCTTCCAAAGAGCAGTGGTTTTTGTTTTGTTTGTTTCCACTTGCTTTTTTTTTTTTTTTAATTTTTTTTCAACGTTTATTTATTTTTGGGACAGAGACAGAGCATGAACGGGGGAGGGGCAGAGAGAGAGGGAGACACAGAATCGGAAACAGGCTCCAGGCTCCGAGCCATCAGCCCAGAGCCTGACGCGGGGCTCGAACTCACAGACCGCGAGATCGTGACCTGGCTGAAGTCGGACGCTTAACCGACTGCGCCACCCAGGCGCCCCTGTTTCCACTTGCTTTTGACTCCACACTGGGTTTGCTATTTTCCTCACACCCAAGTCAGGAAATCTGGACCTAATGTTCCCCGGTGCATTTATTTCATGTCCCACCTGGTCATTTCCCCACCACGGTCAAGGAGAATCAGTGAATAAAGACCATCTTGGTACAGCATTATGCCGGAGAATTTGAAACAAGCCGGTGAGGCGAAATCGCTTATGGTTTTCATACCAGGCATACCTCTGAGAGGCTCGATATAAATACTCCTTTCAGCTCAGAACATCGCACATACCATGATGAAATACCGTACTCTATGTGAGCCGGAGACACGAAGTTATCCCTCGCTTAGGACACACAGGTTCACAGGGTTGTGTTTCCACGGTCCACACAGGCCCACTGGGCTAGCACAGACGGGGGCTGGAGAAATCTGAGGGTTCTAGAGGGTTTCCGGGTGAGCAAAGCTATTTAAGTTACACCCCAGTTGCTTTGTCTCAGGAAAAGGCGACTACAACTGGATGGCTGCAGCAGAAGCATCTGGACTTCGGCAGTTCCCCATGACTCGAGCAACAAACATCACCGGAATCAGTCACCTGAATCTCCCCGTCTTACAGGCGTGCTTTTTCATTAGTCCCTCAAACACCGACCAAACCACAAACCTCCCTCCCAGGAGAGTAAGTTTCCAGCTCCCACTGAGGGAAGTCTCTTGAGGCATTTCTCCTCATGTGCCGAGTTCTGCAACCAGTCTCTCGAAGCGCTTCTGTGTATCTGAAAGGGCACCTGCATACTATGCCAAGGTTAAACCATAGCGGGGCTGAGCCGCGTCACCTGCAGAGAATGCGAGCAAGAAAAGAGCGTTCATCTTTGTGTCAGGTGCCCCGGGGTGAAAGAAGAGGGCTGTGGTGGCCTGAGGGTGTTCTTGCCACCCGGAGTCACGGTGCTTCTCACTCCAGATCGATGAGGAACCTCAACTGGGGAGGTGTTTCGTGGCGTATGGCATGAAGCAGCCAGGATTCCAGGGCTCCAAAGCTCAACTAGCTTCTCAAGCCCAAAATTACAGGGTAGGAGTCGATTCCTACACCAGGGCAGACCAGCAGAAACAAGATGAGACAGAAGATTAAGTAAAACACGGGCAACCCAAGGAGGAGGAATAACGGACAACGAATGCCCTCAGGGGTTACAGCATCATGGGAGCAGAAGGCCACTCTTCAGTGGTTCCAAGAAAAGAATACAAAGTCGCCATTCCCAGCCCAGGACACACATCTCTCAGTTTGCTGGCAGACGGTGCATACAAAGCTCCACTCTCCAGATCCAAGCAGAACTGAAACAATATCATAGGGATGATTTATTAAATGAGCAGCGGCCTGCAAATTAAAACAGGGAGATGTATGATCAAAGGCTTTTATGCCACATCTTCCGTAAGCACATCTCACTTCACTGAGCTAGGAAAACACCTCCTCTATAGGGGTTAGACAATGCCCTCCCCGGGGCTGCAGGGCTTCACTTGGGTGGAATGCAAGGACTCCTTTCTTCAGGGGACAGGCTTTTTCCGAAGCCAGAAGGATAGTTAACCTGAGACTACATCTCAATTCTGCAACTGGTTCTCTGCACCATCTTAATCGTGCCCGTTCACTAATTCAACAAATATTTACTTAGCACTTACCCTGTGCCAGGCACTGTGTTCTCAGCACTGCTTTTTCCTAGTGGACACAGTCATACCGGGCCCAGTTCATTTCTTGGTTGGGTTAACTTTCCAACCTCTCTTCATGTTTACCTTTCCAGCGATGCCAAACACATTCAGTTTCCAAGGTCACCAGCATCCTACTTTCAAACTAGGAGCCTCCCCCATGATGCTCCTTTTTTTACATTTTGGTGGCAAGAGAGCCCACGCCCTTGGTTTCTGAGCTCATCTCTCTCTAGATAATCAAACCAGCTCACGTTCCTTGCCGTCCCTCGTTCCTGCCAGTTCTCTCTGTCCCTCTACCATTCGCCTACTCAGTATCTCATTGGTCTGATCATCCCATGAGATGCCTTGATCGGGAATGCCTTATCCCTTTCCTTTTTCAGGCAAATCTGGAAATCCTGCCTTTCCTACATGATCCATCTGGTAATAAACTAAGCACCTTCTCTAGGTGTATCAATTGCTCTCCATGAAAGAGCGTCTGCAAGGGACACTTTATAAAGCGCTTCCAACTACGTCATGTCAATCAACCCTCAACGACACTGTTGAAACAGCGATTACCTAACTCACTTCACACACAAGGAAACCAAGGTGTGCACAAATTAACCAACGTGTCCTAGAGAATACAGCAAGCAAGCAGCTGACGTGGGACCCAAACCCTGTCGATCGGCTGCTACATCAGAACCTTTTCCATTCATTATTCAGTCTGCCAAACCCTGCTCAGGAAGCAGCCATGTGAAACAGGTAGGATGGACAGTACTTCCCTTGCCCCATCTGCGGATGGCCAAACTGGGCCAGAAAGAAGGAAGAATGGGCGAAGCCAAAAGAGACAGGGATCTGAGGCCTGGGATCTGAAATAGCCTAAGTGAATTTACGAGTAGGATCCAACGAGGTGTCGTCAAGCAAGAGCCTCCGGTGAAACTAAATCACAAAGCAGAGCAGGTCCTTCTTAAGGAACACTTGCTCACCACACACCTTAATTAGGAAAAAGGCAAACACCCATTTGGCTCCTGAAGAGTTAGCATTTAAAAAGCACGATCGAGGGGCGCCTGGGTGGCTCAGTCGATTGGGCGTCCGACTTCAGCTCAGGTCACGATCTCGCAGTCCGTGAGTTCAAGCTCCGCGTCGGGCTCTGGGCTGATGGCTCAGAGTCTGGAGCCTGCTTCCGATTCTGTGTTTCCCTCTTTCTCTGCCCCTCCCCCGTTCATGCTCTGTCTGTCTCTGTCTCAAAAATAAATAAACTTAAAAAATAAATAAATAAATAAATAAATAAATAAATAAATAGCTAGCACGATCGAGAGAAAACCACAATCAACGACAACCAACTACAATTAGAGAGCTTAAGAGAAAACCCAGAGAGCAAGGATTCCAGGATTCTCCAAGAAGGTGCAGTCCCGTTACCGAGTCAAGAAAGGGATGTACTTTTGCCCCGATGGTCTGGAAGAGTACGATGCCCGGTCCCAGAGTTGGCCAGACGGCTACCTGAGCTCATACTCTTCACCCAGGAGCCTGGCCGGGCACGGCCTTTCAGATCCACTCCAAATCTGTCTCCTGTTGGTTCTTGTGAAGGGGTCAGTAGCAAAGACACTTGGAAATACATTTTTTAAAGAAGTAGAGTAGGGGGAACGCTTGAGCTCTGACAAGACGTACAACCACCCTCACGTTGCCTGCAGCTTCCCGGAGGCCCTCCTGGAACAGACGACTACACCTGGCGGAGGAGAGGAGGGGACCAATGGTCACTCTCTCGGCCTGTTTCGTGTTTGGTAACGATCCAGGAACCCAAACAGTCACAGATAAAGGAATATCCTCTTACTCCTCTATTTAGCTAAGTACTGCTAATTCAATGAAATTCAGTAATAATTTCTTTCAAATCCACTGCTATAAGCCTGCCTGCACCCTTGCCAACTCCGATTCCAGGCAAAGAAGTTAACACACAGAAAATACTCATTTGCTTCCATGTGTTCAGCCTCTGACTACTAGAGGTATTTCCCTTCAGTGTTTTGTTTGTTTGTTTGTTTCATTTATTCATTTGTTCATTCATTCACTCATTCATTCATTCAGCTTTTTACTGACGTGGAACGTAGACAGGATTATCCTTAGATGGAACACAGGCTTTGCGATTAAATGTAAAACTAGGACTCTATAAAATATGGGGCGCCTGGGTGGCGCAGTCGGTTAAGCGTCCGACTTCAGCCAGGTCACGATCTCGCGGTCCGTGAGTTC